GGGTAATCCAAAGAGACAGATCCTCAAAGTCAGTATTCAAACAATATGTTTTCATTACAGATCTGAAAAAAAAAGTTAATATGATTTTCAGAGAATGCTTGCTAAATTGCACTGAATACATCTTCCTCCAATTCCTACTCTAATGATGTTAATTTTTTTCAGCAGCAAAGTTAATGTCTCTTTACATCACCTATTCCCTGCTATACAATGTGCATGTAAGTATTGTTTATTCTGGTTCACTATCTTTAAGATCATGGAAGTTGAAAAATTCATTTTTCAAAGGATGCTTTACTTACAGAATTATTAATTAAAGATTAGACAGCTTCCTTTCAAAGAAAGCAATGATTAGAAAATATATTTGCTCATAAACATTATATCTCACATTAAAATCTCACCCTTAATATTGTCCTTATAGAATTTATTGCTCTCTTCCACAGTACTAAATCCAGCATACTGGCGGATGGTCCAGGGCCTAAAAGTATACATGGTGGGATATGGGCCACGTGTAAATGGCTTCACCCCTGGAAGTTCTTCAGGTAAATCCCTGGTATCTCTGCTGGAATATAAAGGCTTTATGGCAATTCCTTCTGGAGTGTGCCATATTAAGTCTTCTGGGTTTTTGCCTTTCAGCTGCTTTTTAGCAAGGGCAGCCCATTCGGGATGAAGAGGTTGTTGCTGGTGTAGAAATCGCTGCCATATAAGCCTGGAGCTGGATGATTCTTTCAGCTGCTTCAGGTGATGAGGTGAAAGCAACAAAAGCCGAGTCTTCACCCTCAACATGATGGCTCATGAGAAACACCCAACAGGAACAAGAATTAACCTAGGGGGAAAAAAACACAGTGTATATATACATTTATAAGAGAGGAAAATGGGACCATTGGTGAAAAAAAGAAGTTATTAGTGTAATTTCACCTATTCTTGTTTCTTGTTCTTGCAAGTTCATGTTAGCCCAATTTTTCCACAACTACTATCATTGCTCTAGTTATAGTCTTTAATACCTCTTAGCTGATTTCATTGACAATCTTAGCTCCCTATAACCCATTTTTCACACTTTAAGCAAAAATGATTATGTTGTGTTAATTCTGATTTTTCAAAGGTTTCACTCACATAGAAGATCCTCCTCATTAATTTTTCCATTTAGGTTTTAATGCCTACTTTATGACAGGATTGTATGCATTCTGTAGAAAAAAGTGATCATAAGACAAACTAGAATTCAAGACCTCAATGACCTGATCTCTCCTTACTGCTTAAACTCAGTCCTGTCCTTGTAATCTAAACATTTTGTGTTCTACAATGCTACAGCCTTTGATTTGGCTTTGGCCTCCTCTGAGGAGCTCTTTTTCAGATTAACTTGAGTTCTTCACATATATGAAAATTGTATTACTTGCTTTTTCTCCTCTGTGTCCCTAGGATGTTCTTTTGTTTAATTAGTCTAAGACATCAGCATTCAATGTACAGCATTTTCTATGTGACAGTCATTGCTCTAAGGACTGTACATAAGTAGTAATTTTAATCCTTAGAACACCAAGAAATAGATTTTACCTATGAGGAAACCAAGGTAGACAAGAGACAGCTTTGAACTTAGGGAGCCAGGTTTCAAAGTTCTTAAATTTAACTAATATACTCACATTTCTCCTTGAACACAAATCTGGACTAGTAACATCTTCTGTAATCTAACACTCTGTGTACTTGTTTATACATCCATCATATATTATTTCCTACATGACAACATATAGAATACTATTTTTATGTTTTTTAAAATGCATGCATTTATACTTTGTTTACATTAAATACCTATATATAAAATTATACACATATATACATGAGTGTATGTGTGAGTACACAAATATGTGTATTTCTTTCAGCCAGCCTATAAATGATTTAACATTAAGGTTGTATATTTCTGATAACTGAGAGTTTTACACTAGGTGACAGTTTCATTATATCATTTATAGATACAGAAATTAAGATGCAGAGAAATAAAAGTAGCTTGATCAAAATTCCATACAACAGGGCTCTCCCTGGTGGTGCAACAGGTTCTCAGCACAGCACAGAGAAACCAGCTTTAACCACCTCAGCACAAGTTCCATCCTGCCAGGTAGGTGACCCACATGGCATAGCAGACTTCTGACCTGCCCATTGCTCCTCTCAGCAGTGTACTTCATGAATCTGCCTGTTCTGTTTCCCACTCTGTTTCCTCTGCCCCTGCACCTCTGGCCTGTACCCCAGTTCTGTATACATAAATAAATAACTCTTAAAAAAAAAAAGTTCAAAGGTAAAACTTTATTTTTAAAATTTTTTTTTAATTCCATACACCAAGGCAGTAAATTGTTCACTTGAATTAACCAAATGCTTGTCAGTCATATATCATCAACATATAATATAGTGTTATGGTATACTAATATCATTAATTTATTAATTATGCTATATTGTATTATAAAAGATAAAGCAACAAAAGAGTTTAATATTCAATTCTCCATACCATTTAACCTATCAATTCAGTGAAAAGAAAATAAGAACACTTAGCATTTTTTATTAAAAGAAAATAAGAACACTCAGCATTTTTTTAGACAGTTTTGCAACAACATAAAGTACTGGTGGGAGCACTAATTAAACTACTTCATAAAGCAAATTGGCAATTTGTACAGGTTTCATAAATGATTATGTCATTCAATGGAGGAACATCACACTCCTTATTTACTACATTAAATATAGATTCCTATTATTTTGTAATGAAAAACTTAGGAACAACATCAATGTCTAACAACACAGAACAAATAAGTGAACTTTAGCATACAAAGATACAGAGTGTTAACTAGCTATTAAAATATGTTTAGGAAACAGACAAACTCACCTGACGTTTAGGAAACAGACAAACTCACCTGACGCCAAAAGTCAGAAAAGTAGTTACTAATGGTGGTTAGTACAGAAAAGCAACAAGGGAGGAGTTTGGGAGTGACACCTAAATGTTGATTCTACAGATATATTCAGGTTATGGGAATATGCTGAAACCTGCAATTTTGATGTGTACATTTATCTAAATTCACTATACATGAGTTAAACATTTAAATGTGCTATGGAGTTTCTTTAAAAAAGAGAAAGGTCTAAAGGCATTGAAAGAGAACAAAAAACTCATAAAAGTAGTATGTTCAACTACGTTAAAACTGCATTTAAAAAGTCTAAACAGAAATACAACAAAAACAATTTCCATTAAAAAAACTACTGGCCCTCCCTGGTGGCGCAGCGGGTTAAAGCACTGCACTAAGAAGCTAAAAAGCCACTTCTGCATGAGTTCGATTTCCGCCTGTCCCGGAGGTGACCACATGGCACGGCAGGCTTCTCCTGACCCGTCTGCTGCTCCCCTCAGCAGTGTATTTGTAGATCTGCCTGTTCTGCACCCCACTCTGTCTCTGGTAAATCCTCTCACCCTCCACATCTCTGGCCTGTACCCCAGTTCCCTATGAATAAATAAATCTTTAAAAAAAAAAAAAACTACTGATTTTTATTCTAAGCCCACAAGGTCCCTGTCATCCACCTTCTTGCAACCCATATAAGACATCTACTAGCTTGAAAGATGGTTGAGAAAATAATGAATTTATATTATAATTGAACCTTTAGGGTAATAATGATATAAAAAAATAATTTGAAAACTTTCCAAAACTAGATTACAGATAGAAAAGATCACACCTCACAAAAACATATTCGTGGGGCTTTCCTAAACCTGTAAAAATTATAGGAAAGAGCCCCATGTGAGACTTCTCCAAATCACATACTAAACTGGCAAAGGCTGGAAGTTGATGTCATTTTTAGATGAGAACACAACTACTGTTGATGGTAACAGGATCACTGTTTTTTCAGAAAAATCAATCCACAGAGGTTTTGAGCATTCAAAGAAGCAGCAAGCAAAGAAATTATGCTAAGTTACTGAAGTTTAAAATGTGTTAAAGAGCAGTGAAGTCCACCCACACATTCCACAAAAATGAGTGAAACAGTTACAGTTCTGAATCAGATAACTTTCATATTTGGACTGCTAACATGTGGTCATACTTCAAGAACAGCTAGCCATGTCTAGCATTCAGCTAATGGGAGCTGGAGATGACAGTATAGACCATGCAAATTAAATATTAGCATAAATAAGCATAAGCATAAATTGAAAAAATCATCAAGTGATTTAAAATTTTACATACATATATTATCCAGGGTTTCAAGTTTCTGAAAGACTGCTCTTTCTAGATAAAACTTATATTTTATGTCAATTTATACCTTTGTTTCCTATTCCACTACTAACCTTTACCTCCACTTGTATACAGAAAATCAATGAGTCCCGCCACATCTTCTAGAAAACCCTGAGTTTTTAGGACCCTAGTCCTAAAAACTGTGGCGTCAAGTGCACCCCTCCGGAACCCAACAAGGAGTGACCTCTGCCTTAGAGGAACTTCGGGTGCTTGGGTGGTCAGGAAAAATGGCGAAATGGCCCTTGAGACATTACAAGCAACTTCTTTCCAGAAAAAACCCCAACTCTGAAGAACCTCACTTTCATAGGTGGGTGGCCAATCTAAACTTAAGGAAAGGATAGCAAAGAGAGGTATGTCTCCACCGCTGGAAAGTGAAAAAGGAGAAAGTTGACAGCAGGGAAAGGACAGAGCTTCAGAGGACAAGACTAGGGGCCGGGGGAAGAGAGACGATAGACGAAAGGAGGAATATTTGAAACGCCGATGTGCCTCCACGTCCACAACCTTACTCACCAGCCAACTTGTGTTGGCCTTCTGCTGTGGGAGGGGAAGGCGGGATTTCAGCACCCGCAGCCCTCCAAGTCCACACTCCCGGACGCCTCAGGCAGCAAGCGCCAAGGTCTGCAGAGCACGTCTGGGGGCGTAGGCCGACACCGCCCTCTCTTCAGCCAATCCCCTGGCGCTCTCGGAGGCGCGCTTCTGATGACGTCAACATCCAGTTTGCTTTCCGCCTCTAGCCACAAGCATTTCCGGTTTCTAGTAGCCCTCTTCCGGGTCTCGCCTTTCAAGTGTTTCGGCGCGAATCGCTCAGCGCGCAGACTTCGGAAAGATTCTGTAGGACTTCTAAGTGAGTGGAGAGAACGCATAGTGCACTGGTGGGTGCAGGTTGGGGGGTGAATTTTGTACGCGCTCCGCGATTTGTGCTTCTGGAACGTGATCAGGAAATCAGGAGCGGTCTGCTATTTGGGACCACAGACTGAAATTATTATAGATGCGAAAAAGGGCTGAATCCACGCATGGTTCTAACCGCCTTTCGAGTCATCTTCACCCTTCTTTCTTTATCTCTTCTGCCGCCAGTCGAAGGCGAAGCGTATTTTTAGAGATTAATGACTTTGAACTTTACGAATAAGTAATATGTATTTGTGTTTTGTCGGACGTCTTACGTCACTTCTTGCCCGCAAGAATTCTCGATTGAGATGCTTTCTTTCCAAGACTTGCAGGGAAAAAAAAAAACAGCTTCGAATTCGAATGCTTCCGTGTTTCCTGCCTGTGATATATTGTTTGCTCCTTCCATTCCTCCCTTACACGTTTCGCTAAACTTCCCTGTTCCTTAACACATAGGTTTATTTCAAGCTGTGCTGTCACCAGGCTTTTGCTGGTTTTTTTCTCAGATATTTCGTTCTCTCTGGGAACAATTCAAAATGTAGTTCAAATAACTACTGAACATTTTATATTTCTCACACAGAAGCAACAATTTGAGACGGTTATTCATTTGTCTTGTAATATTTGTCACATTGTATATAGTTGTACATAGTTGTGTTCATATTTGTCTACTCACTACTGGACTCTGATATCCTGTAGATATATAACAAGGCAAAATATCACTAGCCCAATTGTGACAGAAAATTATAACTTCTATTTCGTGATTTATTGCTATGGCTCAAGTATTCTTCCAGACACTTGATGTATTCTGTGCAAATGTTAACTTTACAAAGTCTTGCTGTTAGTACTTTATTAACCCATTTACCACTGGGTAAAATTAAGCAAATTAACTTTCCAAAGGCTATGTAGCTACTTCAGTGGCAAAGCCAGGATTTGGAATATAGGCAATTTAGTCTCCTCCCTCACCCACTTTTGGCAGTGGTTCTCAACTTGGGGTAATTTGCCATTAGGAGACATTTGAAAATACATGGAGACAATTTGGGTTGTCACAATTTGGGGTGTTGGAGCAGTACTGGGGAGGTAGTGGCATCTGGTAGATATAGAGACCAGGAATGTTGCTAAACATCATGTAGTGCCCAGGATGTTGAAGGATGACTCCTTCAACAAAGAATCGTTCTTCCAAAATATTAAGTGTTGAGATAGAGAAACTGTTTGTGCTGTAGTTACTTGATTCAACTCAACATCACTGAAAATGATGCCCCTACCCAAAGTATCCCCTAAGCCATACCAAGTGGAAAAAATTTCTAGGAATGAAACCAAATTAGATGTCCTTATTTAATCAGAACCAAAGTTACTGGGTTTTAAATATGTCTATTTAAAAGAGCAATCTGTCTCAAAAGCTTTATTATGATTTTTTAGAAACAAATTTGGAACATTTTAGGTATCTTTTTAACAAAGTATTTTGCAAGCCATTAACATTTTTTATGTCCTTTTCATCTTTATAGGTTTTTTGGGAATCCCTATTAGAATTGGTCTGTTTTCATCAAGATGTCTGGCAAAGAAAATACTTCCAAGAAAAAATCTCAACAGTTAAAAAAATATTTAAAAAGAAAAATTCATGAAGAAGAAACAGATTTATTAGAGAAAGAGGTAATGAAACTGTTGAATTCATTCCGAACGCTTTGATTAGAAATTTGTTTTTGTAAAAGGAATATATAAAAACTATGGATCAATTTCCCTGCAAATTATATAATTCACATTGGTCTGTGGAGTGTTACAATGTGATTTGTAAAAGTTCTCAATAACATTGTTATAGTTTCTAAAGACTGGTCATAGAACTGCTAAATTGTATGATTATGACTTTTATGAATTAAAAGATAAGAGAATCTGTTGGTGGAAAGGCTATTATTTTGGAGAAAGAAATAATAGTTTGCGAGGAATTACCATCTTCCTGCCATAATTTTCCCTCTTTTATAAAAGGATAAATGAATCAAAACCTTTTGTGTGTTTTGAAATTGTCAGTGTTTTGCAGTCGAAATATTTCACAGGCAAAGTAAAACATTCTTGATACATGAAATTCTGTCACATAACATAACCATTGCCCAGGAATTATTTTAGTAAATCCCCTGCTGGTATAAGTGCATGCCCTTTTTTCTAGAGAAAAAAAAAATATTTTTCTCATCTAACTAGCAGGTCTGTAACTACTCTTCAACATATATTACAACTAGTGCAAAAGTGGTATCTTTTTAATTTTATGTGCATGCACATGTGTTTTCCCTGCAGGTTAGAAACACAAAGAAAAGAAATAAAAAGCATCTATCTTCTGAAGGTACTTCTTTTGTATATCTTGTTTAACCTGTCTTTCCTAAACTATCTGTATTCATGAAAAAATTCTCAGCCTTTTGTTTTTGAGTTCTGAAGAAACAAAACAATGATTTATCATATCACTACAAGGCTAGAATAAGTAGTATTGGTTAATCAGTTATTTTAGTCAACTAAAGTTTTACTTAACTACCATTAGCAAATATACTGTATAGGCGTCTCATTTGATAGGAACTATGAGAAAAACAATGTGTCCCACAGTTTGAATTATTACTGACTTATGATAGACAATTGAGCAGATTTCTCTTTAAAAGAAAGACTTATGTTCTACCATTACTGTATAGGTTAGTATAAAGCCCCTATCTAAGTTTATTTTGCTAAATTAGTTTACTTTTTACTTAAATATCACCTTTTTCATGGAAGGACTTCTTTTTGTTCTTCACTCAAAACCAGTTAAGTTCTCTGGTTTAATATTTTCGTGTTGTATAATACTTTTATAATGTTATATAAATGTAAATTTATCTCCATTCTCTCCAAAATTAATCTTTACTGAGCCATAAATAGATCTCCTTTCTTTATTCCCTGGGAATAGAACAATAGCAACCTAACAGGTACAGGATATCTATTTATAGTTTAGTCAATCTGTTTTGTTGCACTTGTCATCCAACATTTGGTAGAAGTGATTTTCTGGTCTTCTCAGTGAAGCTTCTAATCCAGGTCATTTCTGAGAACCAAACTTTTTTTCGTTGAATCCTCATATAGTTTGATTCTCCTCTTAAAATTAAGACTTGCCTATAAATGTTGACGAGGTTGTGGAGTAAAGAGAACTCTTCTATACTGTTAGTGGGATTATAAATTGGTACTCTGCTATAGAATGAATAACAGTTTGGAGAAGCTCAAAAAGTTAAAACTACTACTAACATATGATTCAGTATTCCACTTCTGAGATACATCCAAAGTAAATGAAGACACTAACTCAGAAAGGAATCTGCATCCCCATGTTCATAGCAGAATTATTTATAGTAACCAGGACATGACATAGGCATGTTTATATATAATAGAAATGCACACACATGCACGCGCATACATGTATTCACACAATGGAGTAGTTGACCAGAAAAAAATAGGACAAACTTCCATTTGCAACAACATGGATAGAACTTGAGGATATTATATTCAGTGAAATAAATCAGAGAACGACAAATACTGTGTGTTCTCATATATGGAATCTTAAAAAAAAAAAAAAATCATCTAGAAAAAGAGATTGGGTTTATGGTTATCAGAAGAAGGAGGGAGAATTGGGAGGAAGGAGGCTAGAAGAGGCCAGCACACAAGTATTGGGAACATACATGATAGCCATAGTTTAAAAAAAAATTAAAAACATGAAAATAAAAAAATGAACTGCCATTTACTTAGTGGTTATCTGATACCAGCTACTTTGCTGAGCCTATGCACAATTGTATATACAGATAAGACAATTAAGCCTCAAAGAGGTTAAATGACATGTCCAAGGTCACACAGCTGCTGAGTGGCAGAGCTCAGACACAAGTCCTGAGTGTCAGCCTCCAAAGCCCATACCTTTAATTTCTACTCTGTATTTTGATGCTTCTTTGTACATTTGATTAAGTTCCACACAGTAAACCTTTAGTGGTAGGTTAAGTAATCAATACTCAGCAATCAGTGGTTGGTAATTTTCACCTGTGATGGAAACCTGCCAGTTTACTGGTATTGGGAAACTAACTCAGTGTTGTGATGACATGAGATACCAGCTCTAGGGAAGACATCATTTTACCCATCTTTCCCTCTTTTATCAAATGATCTCTGCTTAAACTTCTCTCTACCTCTACTCTTGATTCCTTATTTATAGCCATTGATCAGATTCACTTTTAAAAAGTAAATATCTAAATGTCTTGAAATATAAACATCAGTTTATATTTTAGTCATGTTTCATTATAATAGAGTCTTTTTGTACTCAATACCTGCCATGTTATGGCTAGGCGCTAAAAGAAATTAAATAGTTTGTCAACTTCATAATATTTTGGTTTTCATAGTCCTACTAGCTATTTTAGATACATATATTTGAATTACTTTTAAAGTGAAAACAAATGGCTAGTTTGACATTAGTCTCTATCACCAGAAACAAGACAAAAAGACCATACTAATCTAAAACAGATAAAGATAGCACCAAACAGGAGAAAAAACTGGCAACCTCTTCCAAAGAGTAGTAGAGAGCTTTTGCAAACCATGATGGAACCAATAATAATGTGAGTATTGAATCTATCCTTTTATTTATTTATTTTTAAAATTCATGTATTTTTGTATAGAAGAACAGGGGCCAGAGGTATTGGGGGGGAGGGGGGAGAGGTGGAACAGGTTAGAGGGCTCACCAGAGACAGAGTGGGGAGCAGAACAGATGGAGCCATCAAACACACTGCCAAGGGAAGAAGCAGGGGGGACAGAGAGGTCTGCTGCATCATATGTGGGACAGTTCCCTGGCTGGGGATCAAACCCAGGCTACAGCATGATAACGCTGAGACTCAGTCCCCAGGCCACAGGGGGACCCCCCAGGAATCTGTCCTTTTAAATGTTATCTATTTGCTGATGACAGGAGTTACAAAGAAAATAAGAATCGTGTTATCAACGAGAGGAAATCCATTTTAAAGTCGGGCATTTAAATTTCTCATTATACTTCTACTTAAAATGTGTTTAACATAAAAGGAAACATCTGCCTGGTTAGTAAGGAGTAACTCCTAAAAAATAAGTTATATTATTTTTGTTTCAAACTAATAATTTATTCAATCCTTTTTTCACATCTAGAGAAATTTTGAGTAAGCATAGGAAAGAGCATGACCAAATTCATTATCATCTTCACGACCTGAAGAAAAGGTAATACTATTTGCAATAGAAAATAGTTACAACATAATTTGTAAAATTCTAACACATTGCCAGGACATACATTTGTGGAAGATAAATTTTGGGGTTTTGCTTTTTCAAAGTGACAGAATGGGTGACTTAGTAGAGGGTGCACTACTGTAGTGATACCTGAGGAGTGAATCCTGTGCTTCCAAAATACAATTTTTTTTCTTAAAGATTTATTTATTTATGCATTCAGAACTGGGGTACAAGCCAGAGGTACAGGAGTGGTGAGAGGATTCACCAAAGACAGAGTGGGGAGCAGAACAGGCCAACTGATGAAGTATATTGCTGAGGGGAAGAGCTGGCCTGGGGGAGAGATCTACTGTGCCATATGGATCACCTCTGGGGCGGGGGATTGAACTTCACTGAAGTGGCTGTGGCTCGCTTGCAGTCTGCATCCTAACCCCTTTAGCCACCAGAGAGGACTCCCCAACAATAATTGTAAGCCAGTGTTGCCTCAAAAAAAAAAAAAAAGATGATGTCCAATTTGGACATCATCCAGACTTCTACAGCTGCAATTCTGAAATAAGTTAAGGTCAAGAGAATTTATAAAGAATCCGGAAATCATAAATACTTCCTTATTTGACTCTTCTGTACTGAGATTTGAAAAAGATTTTGTCAACTTTAACTCCCTTCAACTTCATTTTAAATCATTTGGAGTTAACAGTTTGCCACTCCTACCCTGTTGCTTCCTTTCATATTTTATTATGTTATTTGCACAAGCAGCAAGTATAATTTCCCAAGATTTATAGCAAGTCACAAATGGAAATTTCTTTTCCAGTGCTTTTAAAATTCACTCCACTGCCAATGATTTTCAGTGGCAACATTTCTCTAATATTGGCTCAACCTTTTTATTGATGAATTTTCTTTATTATCTTTTTATTGATGAATGTTCTGCATCTCAGTTTCAGGTGCCCCTGGATATAATTTTCACCTAGTTTATTAGACTTAAGACGTCTAAGAATAAATTCTGCTTACATTTTCTTCGAGTATACTTCTGTCTCATCCCACAGCAGTACAGTATAGAAAAAGTGGGATAGCGTGTTTGAGTTTGTGGAGAGAGGTTGAGAGATTAAGGAAAGGCTGCTAGAAGTAGATTTGTAAACTGCTTAAGGGAATGATGGTCTAATAATAGAGGAAAAGGAGCACACTAAAAAATTGATAAGCTAATATGATAAAAGTATAGCTCTTTAGAGTATTTTAGATACAGCATGAGTAGTCCTGTTTATGAGTGAGATTTTACAGCATATAATAGCTATTCTTTATAGTGATCACCCCAGTCATCAGGAAAGATTAGATTCTGTTCAGCATAGATGCCAGCCCTTCATCATGTAGCAGCAGTGGAGATACATACTGGAATGTTGTCTTCTCATGTTTGCTTTCAAAACTCTTGGTTCCAAAGTAATAATACCCAAGATAGTTCCTGTTTTCTTGATATAGCAGAATACAATTGATCCTAATTGGAAGTCTGAGTAAGTTTTCCTATAACTGCATTTCTCAGAGTATATTTGGCACATTTGTTCATACAGCTAGCTACTCTGTGAATAAAAGTGATATATAATGAATTACGCCTGGACACATTAGCCCATTAAAAGTCCTGAAGTGAATGAATGTATTTTGTTTAACCTCTCCCTTTTCTAAGAATTCTGTAAACCTAACCACTGTTGAAAACATTTGGAATATGAATCACAGTATTGACTTTTAATATGCTTTTAGAAGAAATTGTTCCTGAATGGAACCTTTATTTTTAGTTTAAAAACTTGTCTCTCTTGGAGAGACTTATACACACAGGTTTTTATGTTTCATTATGATAGCCTAATAATGATTTTCTGAGTAACTGAAGTTTATCCCCAAAGTTTCATAAAAACTGTAGTTTGTGGGATTTATACTGTCTGCTTTTTTTCTTTATAAGAAGCAATATTTTGAATAAGATTCCCACAAAGATAAGTCTTAGGTTTTACTTTTATTCAAATTGCCTACAAATCTTAATTATTAGAACTTTTTTAGAACCCAAAAATGGTGTTAGGTGGAAGAAGCCAAATGTAGATTTTCCTCCTCCGTTTCTACTTCATCAAATTCAAGATTCAAATCTGGGAAAAGGGTTATTCTTAGCTAATTCAGGTCAATGATAGGTCAGTGTCTATTGATATAATCACCACACCTCTGGCCCAGTTTTATAAGCTAAATAAATAAATCTTAAATAATAAAAATGTTTATAGACTGTGCAGCATAATTAAGATATTAAAAAGTATGTAAATAATTGCATAATATGTAAAGTAGAAACTTATTTTTAGATTTATTTATTTTTGCATACAGAACTGGGGTATAGGCCAGAGGTGCAGGGGTGGTGAGACGATGCACCAGAGACAGAGTGGGGAGCAGAACAGGAAGATCAACGATATATGAGGGCAGAAAAAAAAGATGACAGCATTTTAAAGCAAGACAAAATAATAATAATGGTACTAAAAATTAAACTAATAATTATTTTTTTGTTGTTCTGTCTTGAAGATTGCTCCATCAGTGTGATACCCTGCAAGTCCCCCCCAAAACAATAAAAGACTTAACTAATGTATCAAATCTACTGAAAATGGAAAGAACACAGAACAGAGCTAACGAAGAAGGTCTGGCATTATTGCAGGTATGAAATTTCAACAGAGAGTCATAATTAGAGAGGAGAAAGGGAAGAAGTCAAAGTCAAAGATTTTTTTTTTAATTGTCATGGTGGTTCTAGTTATTCTAGATCTTGAACCAGATTTTTTTTATTCTTTTTTGCTTTATTTTAAATCAAAGCCAAAACGTTGCTTGAACTTTGAGGTAGAGTACAGTAGGGTTACAATAACCCGTTCTTTAAAAAAACAAAGATTTATTTACCACCCTCCCTGATGGCGCAACATTAGGACGCAGCACTGCAAACTAGAGGCAGCCACTTCAGTGCTAGTTCAATCCCCAGCCTGGGAGGTGATCCACATGGCACAGCAGACCTCTCCTGACCCGCTGCTGCTCCTCAGCAGTGTACTTGTCAGTCGGCCTGTTTTGCTCCCCACTCTGTCTCTGGTGACTTCTCTCGCTGCCCTGCACCTCTGACCTGTACCCCAGTTCTGTATGCATAAATAACTAAATCTTAAAAAAAAAATCATTTGTGTTCCTATGTACAAATGAAGAACTAGAAGAGAAAGAAATCAAGCAAACATCCCCTTTAGTATAATATCAAAAAGTACTAAATGACAGGGAATGAACTTAACAAAGGACTTAGACTACATTGTAACAATAAATAGAAGACAAAGAAAGGGAATGGTCTTCCTACTCATGAATTGAGAGAATTAACATTGTTAAATGGCCATCTTATTCAAAGCAGTGTACAAATTCATTGTTCCCTATCAAAGTGTTAAAGACATTCTTAAAAGGAATACACAAACATTACTAGAATTTATATGAAGCCACAAAAGACTCCAGATAGCTCAAACAAACCTCTCGTACTTCTGACCAAATACAAATTGGTGTTTCCCAGTTCTCCTTCTCGGGATTAATAATTTGAGATAAACTCACAAAATTCAGAAGAGCTCTGTACTTATTATTGCCATTTATTACTATGTAAGTTAATAGAGGAAATCTCAAGGGAAACTTGACTCAGTAAGACCTGTAGAGGGAGCTCTCATTCTCTGCCTCACATCACCTACCCCAAACTGAAAGCTATGCCACTTAAACGTAAACATCAGTCAGTTAAACCTCAGACACAAGAGAAAAATGTTCTTGCCCAGATGTAAGCCCAGCCAGTGGAAACACTGCCGCTCAGCCAATGAAAAGCCACTGTCACCTTAACTCTTGCTTTCTGCTAAACTCATTTTTCTCTTTCTGACAAGTTCTTTGTTCTATTTTCATGTCTATAAAAGCTTTTTCCATGTTACATAACCTTTTGAAGTTTCTTCCTGTTTGCCAGATGAGATGCTGCTTGGTTCTTACATCATATAATAAAGTTCAGATGACTTTGGCTTCTTATTCACTGAATTTGTTGCAGGGTTAGAAGGAAAAAAAGGGAGTGGGAAACTATAAATGAAGAAAAGACTTAATACTTAGAATAGCCAAAATCTAGAATATTAGCAATATAATAAAAAGTTGGAACCTCTACCTCCATGGATTGTATGAAGTCTCAAAGCCTTAGGTACTGATCCTTGCATGATCAGGACCACAGATAGTTTAATCCATGTACCACATACTGTTTCTGTTACATAGTCTGATGTTTTTGTTTTACATTTTATCCTTTAAAAATGAAAAGAAAAAGAAAAACATGAACAGTTGTAGGCCTTTGTATGTACCCCTGGTATGTGTTTGTTATGATCAATAGAAATCATATTTGTTGAGAAAAATTACTGTGGTTGCCAGTAACAGTTCTCTTCCAGTTTTGGAGAAGGCTGTAGATACAATATTGATCCTCTTGTTTAATAGGGTTTAAGACTTCTGTGCGGCTTGTGCACTTGTTCCCATATCCCCAAGGACATTGCTGTCACTGACTATTCCTAGGAGTGGATTTGGAAGCAGTGCCATACATACTACCACCCATTCCAAAACCTAGAAGCTGGCTAATTCTGTTCTCGGCTTACAGTCGACACATTCCTGGCTACCTGCACTTGTTTCATTTGTTTCTTACTTTCTATCTTCTTCCATAAACTACATCTCTTGTATGAGAAACCGACACTCGTTTTTTATTACTATTTCTGCCTTAATATCCTATTGCTTTTTTGGCAAATGACAATATCAGCATTCGTGTATTTCTAAATTATAAAAAGGAGTCTATTATATGCTGCCATCAGTCTTAGGCTTTTCTGAACCTACATGAGTCAGGATCTTTTCAGCAGCTTTGGAGTTTTTCACTCTGTAACGATGTTTAAAATATATAAAAAATGTTTAAAAGATATATGAATGTTTGGATTACATTTAATAATAGAGGCATTAAAACAATAAAATCAATAAAGCTAATATGAATAATTAACTTAAGATAATAACTTCCTCTTTCTTCCTCAGGAAGAAATAGATAAAATAGTAGAGACCATAGAGTCAATGACTGGAAGTATTCAGAGCCTACAGAACAAAATTCAAATTCTGACAAGCCAGGTAGAAGAAGAGGAGGAAAAATTAAAGCAGGTAACTGCTAAAAAATGTAATACTACATCTGGGTATAATTTTTAATGTTTATTATCTACCAAGAAAACTTTGAGTTTAATAAGGAGAGAGAAATTAAGTATATTGAAATAATCCATAGTTTACTTTTTTCTATGTTAGGTGCTTCAAATAGGTAACACTGGGGAACTCTCTCTTCCAAGACTTTCTCAGAAGAGTCTCAAAGTACCCACACTTCAGGTAAGTACCAATTTTCTATACTGACTGGGTACCAAAAAACATACACGTTAATCTTTTTGTTTTTTAATACTTATTAACCTATTTTACTCTTTTTGTTTTTTTAAACACATAGAATCCATGATAGAAACTGGCAAAATTGTTTTTCTTTTGACAGTTTACTCCGAATACCTTTTGTCGGTTCATGTAGATCTGCCTCATTCTTGTCAATAGCTGAATAATAATGTGTTATATTGATGCCCCATAATGTAATTTATGAATTACTATTAGAAAAACTTTTGCTATTGCAGACCATGCTGGCTACACACCTATACATACATACTTAATACATTTGTGTAGTCGTACCCAAGAAGAGATTTCTGTATGTAAATCTTGACATTTGTTTTGTTTACTCTTAAAACAATGTCATAACCCTTTATATCATAAAATAGTACTATAATTTATTTGTAGTAAACTGTACCCTGATACTTTATCTTTCATCAAGGGGTCTACTGGATACTAAAGATCTTTATGTGAGAGGAGTCTTTTATGTCTATGTAAAAATTAAAGCTTTTCTATCTATAATAAGATGAGAGAAGCAGTAATGAGCAGAGAAAAAACAATCTCTCTAAATAACATACTTTTGACAGTTCTCATAATAAAAATGTTAAGAGCTAATTGTACTATCATGCCCATAGGAAGAAATTCTGACATTAATTCCAAACAAGAACGCTCTTCTGAAAGACTTGGATGTTCTCCACAATTCACCGCAGATGAAGAACATGTTAATTTTCTTTGAAGAAACCTATAAGAGATTGGATGCTTTTAAAAGATTGGATGCCATAGTAACTTAATTTTTATGAATTTGTAAAACTGTTAACCTGTAATATGAGGCGTCCTCAGGAATTGTTGTATCCTAATATGCACTTTAAAATTAGCCACTGTAGATCTACCATTAGCATCTAATGACATCTTAATTTTTTTTTTTTTAATAATTGCCAAGTCTAGGAACTCGCATTTATTTGCTTTACCTACAGTTTTCTGCCTGAAACCATAAATAAGGGCAGTCACAATCTCATGGGCTGTGACAACTGAATAAAGCACTTATTGGTGAAAATATGATACTGTCAATATGTATATATAGTATCTAGTACATAAAATGTAGGGATTAACTATCATTCTTTACCTGAAGATTTGCATATTCTGTCTGGTCATCTAAAATATGAAAAATCCCCAAGTGCTTTTACTTTTTTATATAACTCCATAAATGTTTTGTAGCATAATGAAATTATCTCTGGTGTCTTCATTTTTGAAGATGGCTCAGACATTGTATTACATTGGTTGGGAAACTGAATAGATGTTGCCTATTTATTTTTCATTACCATCAACGCATACCTTTATTAAAAAGGAATGTAAACACATTTATTGCCTTAGAATTCAAACAAGCAAAAAAAAACCTTTTTTCTAAACCTTCCTAAATATAAATATATACATGTGAATAAATCATTACTTAAGTATATTAAAAATTATTTTTAATCAACTATAGTTTATCACCTGAGTTGCTTTTATCTATTTATAAAAGAAAATGCCTGCTATTATATTTCTCTCTAACCTAGAATATTTAGTCAGTTAACAAAAGTTAACTTAATTTTGTTAATGCCCTCCAGATAATGACTATTAGGAACACAACTTTAATTAAACAATTGGGCTTAATGCTTATTGCAGTGAAACAGGTCATACATCATGGGATGGGAAACCGGAGGCAGCTCAGTAAAATGGTCAAAAGCAGTATTCACTGAGGAAATAATGGTTTAAAAAAAAAAGGCTGATAATTTTAGATGGAAAGAAAATTTTAAAGAAAGGAAATCTATACTGTACACATTTAAATCTATACTGTACACATTTAAATTAAAGAAAACATTATATATATTTTGCACTCCTAGTACATGCAAGACAGGCAAAGCAATTGAAAATAGATTATAAGGTGGTGTAGTGGGTTAGGATGCAGCACTGCAAGCTAGCTACAGCTCCTTCAGTGTGAGTTCAATCCCCCGCCAGGTTGCTGATCCGCCTGGCTAGGCAGACCTCTCCTGTCTCACCTACTGCTCCCCTCAGCAGTGTACTTCATTGATCTGCCTATTCTGCTCCCCACTCTATCTCTGGTGCATTCTCTCACCGCCCCTCCACCTCTGCCCTGTACTCCAGTAATGTATGCATAAAATAAATAAATCTTTCAAAAAAAAGATAGTAAATTATGAAATGTCCTAGAACTTAAAAACTCTTCACTTGAAGACTTAAAATTTCATGTTCTGAGATCATAGAGCACTCACCTCACTGATTTTTCTCATGGAACTTTGGTATATTCTTTTTTTTTTTTTAAGATTTATTTATTCATACAGAACTGGGATACAGGCTAGAGGTGCAGGGGTGGTGAGAGGATTCACCAGAGGCAGAGTGGGGGGCAGAACAGGCAGAATGACAAAATACGGCCACCAGGGAGGCCGTAAACTGGTATATTCTTTGTGAAGATTTTTTTTTTTCTTAAGATTTATTTTTTTATTCATACAGAACTGGGGTATAGGCCACAGATGTGGAGGGTGAGAGGATTCACCAGGGACAGAGTGGGGAGCAGAACAGGCAGATCAACGAAGCACACTTCTGAAGGGAGCAGCGGGCTGGTCAGGAAAGGTCTGCTGCGCCATGTGGATCTTCTCTAGGGCAGGCAGGAATTGAACTCATGCGGAAGTGGCTTAAGCTTCTTAGTGCAGTGCTTTAACCCACTGCGCCACCAGGGATGCCTCTTTGTGAAGAATTTTAAGACATAATGATAGGCCCAAATCAAATGAAAATTCAGTTGTATAATTCAATAACATTCAAAACCCCTGTGTCACTAGGGAGACCTTCAATATTCTTTATCATGAACATTTGCAAAAATCAGTGTGTCTTACTGTAAAATTCAGTGTGTCTTAGTGTAACTCTCATTACATTTAAGTAACCAGCTAATTCTTTTAGCTTCATGACTTACATATTTAATTCCTTCTCTGGGTAGGGGAACTTTTCCTCTAATATTTGTGTATACTCTGCATTTGCTGCTATTATCTCTACTGAGAAACCAACCTGTGTGGACCACCAGGCTCCTCTACAAGTCATTCCCATACTTCAAGGATGTATGGACTAAATAACCTTTAATATTACCCCCTATCCCACAACTTCCTGCCAAGGCCTGGCCTCCCACTGACTTGGTGGCTTTTGGAGCAGCAAGCCAGAGAGACATAGGTTTGAGACTCAATTGTGTGGAAAGGAGTGGCCGTTGTCTGCCACTGCTGCATGAGTTCAATCCCTGGCCAAGGAACTAACCCATGTGGCTCAACAGACCTCTCCTGTGTCTCTAGCTGCTCCCCTTAGCAGTGTATTTTAGTGGTCTGCCTGTTGTGCTCCCCTACTCTGTGTCTGGTGAATCCTCTAACACTTCCACACTTCTAGTCTAAACCCCAGTTCTTGGTTGTTGTACACATAAGTATTTCTTTTTTTAAATACTGAAAGTAACGAGGAAGAAAAAAACATAACCTATAAAGTTACCCCCGATGGGTTACATCTGACTTCTTTCAAGAAATATGGGCTATGTCAGAATGAAATTGCTTATTCAAAATCCTTAAATATAGGGTCCTCCCTGGTGGCGCAGTGGGTTAAAGCACTGCACTAAGAAGCTTAAGCCACTTCCACATGAGTTCGATCCCCGCCTGCCCTGGAGGTAATCCATATGGCGTGGCAGACCTCTCCTGACCCACCCGCTGCTCCCCTCAGCAGTGTACTTCGTCGATCTGCCTGTTCTGCTTACTCTGTCTCTGGTGAATCCTCTCACCCTCCGCATCTCTGGCCTGTACCCCGGTTCTATATGAATAAATAAATCTTAAAAAAAAAAATCCTTAAATATAATCTTTTATATTTATACTTAAATGTAAAAACTGCCAGCCAAGAATATTATAGCCCACAAGATAAGAGGGGAAAATAAAGGCCTTCCCAGACAAACAGAAGATGAAGGAGTTTGCAAATACTGGATCTTCCAGCTAAGAAATAAAAATCAGAGAGAAGAAAAACTATTAAATAAGGCTTAAATCAGAGAGAAGAAAAACTATTAAGTAAGGCTTTAAATAAGGAAATTATTTAAATTAAATAAGGGAATAAATTCAATGCTCTAAAAATGAAATGGCCATCTCAAATCAATAACCTTTTATCAGTAATCACTAAAGGTAAAAGAACTAAGGTGACTAATCAAAAGGCACAAAGAGACTGATTGGATCAGGAAACAAGACCTGGCATTCTGTTAACCTCCAAGAAATCAATCTAAGTCCTCAAGAAACAAAGGCTCAGAGTGAATGGATGTAAAACTATCTTATAAGCAAATGGGACACAAAGAAAGACTGTGATAGTCATACCTACATCAGATAAACTTCCACCTATAAAGGTAACTGAAGACAGCAATGGCTATTTTATGACTAAGATAAATACATGGGAAGACATTACACACACATGATCCAAATGAAGAATCACCAAAATATATAGCTATTAACAAAGGGTGTGGAGATAAAGGAGTCCTCTTATATTATTGGTAGGATTATAGACTGGTCCCTCTGGAAAGTAATATAGAGAAGTGTCAAAATACTAAAAACAAAAGAAATCATACAATACAACAATTCTATTGCTTGGTATTATCCAAAGACTGCAAAAACACTAAGTCTGAGGGATACATGGAATCCTATGTTTATTGCACTGCCATTTACAGTAACCAAGTTATAGAAATAATTCTAGTGTGGAGGACAGGTGATTGGATTAAGATGTAACATGCATGTTCTGGAATATTATTCAGCTATTGAACTCTTGCCATTCACAACATAGATGGATCAAGAAGGGATTATACTAAATAAAGTTAGCCAGAGGGAGGAAGACAAATGCCAGATGATATACGCAGATGTGGAATATAGGTAAAGAAAAAAGGAAGTGAAGTGACAAAAAACAACCAAAACAAAGCCTAAAACACTGCAGAATTGAGCCTACTAATTGGGGGCATAGTAGGAGCAAAATAAAATGGGAAGAGGCCCAGTGGTATATGGTAAAGGGATATGGGTGCTCATGGAGGTGTGGCATAATGTATATCTGAAGAGATGAGAAGCTATTCCCCTGAATCATGTACAGTGCTATAAACCAGTGTTACCTCAAAAATAGAAAGATAATCTTTAAAAGTAAAACAATGAAATATTTTCACATACCATCTTAGAAAAGATTGAAGAAGATCAAAAGTAAAAGCTGTTGAACATACAGGAGAATCACCCCCAAGAACGCCATTGAAGAAAGGTAAGTTGTAATTTGGGGGGAGCAGTGCAGGGGCAGCATGTTCAGATCTCTTGCAGAACCTTTGCATACTGTCAGTCATTTAATTTGTTTTTTTTTTTACATGATCCCTTCTGTTTTCCCTACTCTTTGTTGGGCATATACTCAACACACAGTTTTTGTTTAATATAAGACACCTGCATTGGAACCTAAGATTAAGGGATTTGCTTTCTTTTATTTTGATTGGATAGAATATCCTGGCATTCTCGGCTTACCAAAAATAAATACAAGTGCACCTGTCAAAATTAGTAGATGAATAGTTCAGGTTGGTTTTCTTTCCAAACAAATCTTTTAAGTCCTCTCATGTTTCATTTATTGTCAAGAAATATTCACCTTTGAGGACGAGAAAGAAGGAAAGCAAAACCAGAAATATTCAGATTTTCCATTTGCACTTTCACATGTCTAAAGTGACTGAATAATTCTTGTATTCTAACTATCTTTTCTTAACAAGAGTTCTTGTTGCTGGATGTATTTCTTCACTACTAAACTGCCATAGAACCACTTTCTCTTGGCTTAGGTAAGTTTACTCTCCTTTTAATGACCTGTTATCAAGTCTATGAAGCTACTATACCAACCATATTCAAATTTAGTTATAGTTACTAATGCTGAAGAAAAAGAAAGATGAAGATGGGACATTTTCCAAATTCAATAAAAAGGCAAATACTTTAGACTACTTTTAAAAAATGAAATGATTCTTTTTTTTTTAAATTTTTTTTAAAGATTTATTTATTTTATTCGTACAGAACTGGACTACAGGCCAGAGATGCGGAGGGTGAGAGGATT